AATTTAATTTAATTTAAATTCACTCTACTATAATATATTTTATTTTACTTTATTTTAGTTTATTTTATTTATTTAATATTATATAATTTATTTTATTATATTTAGTTATTATAAGTTTATATCTTATTATTATAATTTAATATAATTTACATTATCTTATAAATTTAATTTGATTTATTCATATGTATCGTCCATATATATTAAACGCTATCAAATTAAACATATATCTTGGTTTAGTGTGGTGGTAATAAGTCTACCATACAACTTGGAGGTCCCAAGTTTGAACCCCAGCCCTTGCATAAATTTTTTGCCGCCACTTAAGCATAAAATTGCCATGTCAGGAGCCACGCCGGCAGCCACGTCAGCATAAAAATACCATGTCAACAAAAATCGCCATGTCATGAGCCACGTCAGCAGACAAAGCCCGAAATTGAGCCCGGTGATTCGAATTGCCAAAAATAGTCAAAGTGGTGTTATATTTGCTAAATTCAAAAAGTTTGGTTAAAACGGCAAAAAGTTGTAAGGTCGTGATTTTACCGGCAATTAGGCCATAATTATTTTGCCCCATGTAACTGTATTATTACGGTTGTGTCCCAGAAGTTTTTCTATAAATAGGACCTTCAGTTATAATGAAAATCGTACCAAGAAATAAATTATATTAAATTATAATATCTCTCTAGTTTTTCTATAAATAGGACCTTCAGTTATAATATCTCTTTAGTTTTATAACACGTTATCAGCACGAGTCTCTACCATCTATAGCTCGATTTGTAATATAACGAGAGTCTCCACTGGATTTGTAATATGACGAGAATATGCTCGCAGACGATCTTCTGTATAAAAAATCATAATATTACAAATCGTTATTTTATTAAAATTATTCATCAAGAAAATCACTGCCTTGTGAGTCTTCTTTTACATAAAATTTCCAGCCGAGAAGTTCATTGAGTAGCAGCGAAGAAAAAATCCAGATTTCCCCCTATCCCTCCATTTTCGTTTTTGATTAATCATTATAAAAGTTGATTAATATCCATGATTTTATATGATTGATATAAAAAAAATTCAAGATGATAAAACTACACATTTATATAAACATTCGTATAGTAATGAAAAAAAAATTAAAGTTCTCCCGGAATCGGGCCTCTCGGATGCCATCCAACTCCATCAATCCGAGCCCAGGGTCCTCCTCTCCAACCGCCGAAAACTTTGGGCTTGAGGCCTGCAAACTCAAAGGAAAGGTAAATTTGAGGGAAAAAAATTGAAAGAAAAATAAAGGGATTACTTTTTAATCGGAGAGATTTGTGTGAAGGGAGAGGATAAGTTTTAAGAGAGGAAGAAGTTATGGGAAAGGAGAAATCAAGGGGAAAGGAGAAAAAGAAAAAAGGGGAAGATAGGAATGTGACGGGAAATAAAGAAATAAGGGGAGAGGAAAAGAAAAAGAAGAGGAAATAGAAGAGAGAGAAAAGTGGGCTGCAGAAGAAAACAAAATGGAGAAAAAAAAATAAAAATAATTAATGCTGGGTCAGGTATGAGTCATCTATATCTATATATATAATAAAGAATTAATATTTTTCAAAAATAATAAGAAAAAAAATAGAGAATATTAATTGCATTCCATTTTTTGGTATGTTTTTTTTTTAATTTTTTTTAATAAAAAATTAAGTAGCATTTAATGTTAGCATAAATCATGGGATTTGTTATATAGATGCATATTTAAAACTTCAAACAAAACATGCCTAAATGTATTTTGAATTTTTTAGGGAAAAAATTTAACAAATACGTTAATGATTTCATACAATACATATATTTATATATATTATCTTAACATATAGATTAATTAGTTTCATATTTAAACAATATATATTTAAACAATATATAAACAAATATAATAATTTGTCGTACAATACAGAAAAATATATAAACAATATATTTATATACGCCTTCCTCGGCGGCGGTGGGGCCTGACCAACGGTCGCCCCTGACTGCTCGCCCCGCCCTGAATGTCGTGCAGCCTGAGTTGCTGTGGTTCTGCTGCGTCGCGGCCTTCAATCAACGGCGAATGGGAGCTTCGAGGTGCCATGCCCTTGGTCAGAATCTGGTCGGCGACGGGTGGTTTCCTCTCAACCGCTGGCGAACCCTTGTTTGGTGGTGGTAAGCCCTCTTTCTCTCTATTTTTGTCGGCGATTGGACCTCGTTGGTCGTTTCTGTTTTCTCCGGCAGGGCTTCCAGTGGGTGTTGGGTTGTTGGTCGCCGGAGTGCTGCGGCGGTGCTCGGGGTGTGTGCGACATCGGGAGGGCGGGACTCCGTTGGCTGCAGCTTTTCTGGTTGCGGTAGTCGGGGTAGAGGGACCGTACCACCCTCACCCTCCCCTGTTTCGGCTAGTGGTGTTAGGCGGAGGGGGACCCAGGGCTCGGCTAGTGGTGTTAGACGGGCCCGGGTGGGCGGGTGTGGGGGCTGGTCGATTCTCTTTCGGTTGGAGATGGGTTGATTCGGGGTTTGGTTCGGGGCTCGGGTTCGACTACTGTATAGGCATTAGTGCAGTTTCGGTAGTGTTTTCTCGGGTTTGGAATCTTCTTTCCTGAGTCGATCGTTCATCGCTGGTTGGAACCGTTCTTTTGCCGAGGAAGGGCTATTATGTTATTTGCTATT